GGTAGGTGTGTGTGTGTGTGTGTGTGTGTGTGTGTGTGTATGTGTGTAAAAGAAAGAATGTAAAGAGCTGTTTATCTTTCTAAACACAATTTTTAATTAAAAGAAAGTTTTATGGGTGTCTCATAATATTCACTAAATGTAGCAAGTTACTACTGGGTAGATTTATATCACATATATCTTAGACCTTAGTTCCTCCTGTGATGCTGACACATTGGGCAGTCCAGTTCCTTCACTGATTGCTGTTGCTTTCTAATTGTGGTACTTCTTCCCAGGTGATGCCACCGCATTCAGTAGTCTCTGTCACTGTCTTCTGCCAGTTCCTCCTTAGCCTTGCTCGTTTTCTCTGTTCTTTCTCGGGTATCCAGTTCAAGGCTTACATAACATATCTCCCATCATCCATACAGTGTACATGTCCCAACCACCTGAGCTTTCTTTCACAAGTTTCAAGTTATTACTGTATAGATTTGTATCACGTATGTCTCTGTTTGTTTATTTTCAGTGTTGTATTTGTGTCCTTAGAATTTATTTTGCATGCAATAAAGATTTTGACTTAAAACTAGGCAGCATAAGAATTTCCAGTTACTCATAACCAGGACATCCAATGTTTTCCATGTCATTCTGGATTTAAATTTGGCAGAAAGGTCCATAGTTTCTGCAGCATGCCGACTGCTAAAACCTGTGACATACTGAAATTTCTGTGGTGCTGTGAAGTGAATAGAAAATCATTCAGAAGAACTAAAAACCAAGGAAAACCTGAGGGTGCATTGTGAATTCCTCATGAGTGGACCCCAGGTCTTGTGCAGAGCCCTGTTGACTTTAGTGAGGCTCTGTGCAGGAGACTTCCATCTGGTGCAGGTTTGGGGCCTAAAGTGGGGCCAGTCCATTGAAACCAATGACAAACCTTGCATTGACTTTAGAGGTGCTGGGTCAGGCCATTGTCAGGGGATGTCTTGATGCAGATTTCTAATTTATTTTTCCTCTCTTGTCTGGTCATGCACTATTTTACTATATGAACTTTGGTTATATTACAGCAACACCCATTTGGTATGTCTTCACTGCAGAGTTAACTCGGGTGATCTGCACTTGGGTGTGAGCACTTCAGTTGATCTAACCCAGGTGTGACCAGCCACCATCTAGGGGTTTGTCTTTACTGCACTGTTAACTGAAATCCCATCCACACATTAAAGCCTCATAACTTCAGTGTGTCGGTAATTTTTAACTTGAGTTGACTGATCCACCAGGGGGTGTAGCACAAGTAATTAGCTCTAATACAATCACACTATGCTGCAGACTAAATGGAATCACTCTGTAGTTAATACAGTCATTCTGTGCAACTCAAATGCTAATTTGCAGTTCTTACTTGACGTAGGCTAATTTAAGAATAGATAAGTCTACCATGAAAATATAATGTAAGAAGGTAAATATTTTTAGGAGCTGCCTCCATCCTGGTAATATTTACCGTGCACTGGGAATAGGTAAATAGTCTCCAGATCTCTGGAGAAGCATTCCTTTGTTATGACTGTGTAGGCCAGTTTAAGTGCTTTCTATGATGGCCTTTAGCCGGTTGATGCAAGTGACTGAAGCTTCAAGTCCCCTTCTATCCAGGATGCCTTTTATTCCCTTTCTATAACCCCTCACACTTCTCCCTCATAGCATAAAGTGCCTGGCGCTTTGTGGTCTGAAGTGTTTCCTGGACTTCTCTGAGAATGTTTGGTAACCTGTAATATATTGATTGCCCCTGCCTGTTGGCAGGAAAAAGGCAGTCTATAGCTCTCAGTCAAGGGGCTGAGCCATTTGTAAAAATCTGTCTCCTTGCTTTGTCTCAAGAG